CAAAACTTCGCACAAGTGCTACAGACGTGGATGAAACGATCGGAGTCGTGGAGGAGTTTTTGAAAAAGCTTCATTTCCTTGCAGTAGAGGTAAGAAACATGCTTGGACACAGTATAATGCATTCTTATTATCCCCAACTCCACTAAAAACATTTTTCAATAGACTTTCGAAAATAATTCAGAGTTGCATTGTCTTTGCTCTGCTTTGCTTTGCTCTTTAATTGGTCTGCAAAACTCGAGCTACTCTGTCAACCAATCAGATGCTAAACTACAACTTGGTCTCCGGCGTTTTACCGCACTTCAGACAGTTTGGTCGGTTTTAATTTGAGCATGTTGAGATCTCATTGGCTCTCTACCCTCTCAGCTAATCAATTGCAAAACTAAAGCTAATGACGACTCGGTCGCTCGATGTAACTTTGGGTTTGGCTTTACCAACTGCCTACACGTTTTTTAATCGTTAATGGATGTTTCTTACTCGGAACTGGTCAGCTCAGACGACCATCACAAAACGCATGATATTAACCCAAACTTTAATAACTATTCGATCTAAAAGAAATAAATCTATAATTCGCAATCAGAACAAATGCAAATAAAGTCTTAATCTCGAAACTAAATTCAGAAAACGTGATTGTAAACTCACTTTTGTGGCGGGTCGTTGAAACAGTCTCACTTTAAAGGTTAGCAGGTTCTTCAGGTAAGCGGATTTATAAACAGACTACATGAAATGACTTCTTTCTCTTCTCGATTCTTCTGGAAAACTGGTTTGAAACAGAATATGCTAACGCTGTTGAATAAATGTACAGAATTAATGTCAATCGTAAATCTGGTCATCAAATAAATCTTTCATTAAGAGGCAACGCCTATTTGCCATACCAAACAATAAATGTCTTTACAGCCTCAGAATAGCATGCCTGATGTAGTGATTTGGATGATGAGTGGAGAAAAGAGGATAGCTTATCATCGCATCCCTGCTTATGATCTGCTGTACTCAACACATGCGGAAGCTCGAGGAAAACATTGCGGAAAGACACTGGATTTGTTTATGCAGGTAAATTTGTGGAAACAATTTGCCTTATGTGAGGTTTTTGATTGTTCAGATATCATTGAAGTAGAGAAATGAATCCTTTCTCCAACCTCACAGTACCCCGGAAAGAAACAGTTCAACCTAGAGGACTACCCAGAAGTCCCCGCTCAAGTCCGCGTCATGCTGTGGCTTGGACTCGAGAAAGACCAGGAGGCCTGGAGTAACCGCCAAGAGACTGAGGGCGACTTTTGCGTATTTGCAGAAACGGTAAAATTAGGTTAAATAAGTAAAATTTCTGTGATTAGCTAGTAAAGAATAAACTGGGTGTAATTTTCATCATAATGACGAAATGTTTCCAGGATTGCTTTGGTTTTACTCTCTGAGTGGTCATCAAATTTGCAGTCACTACATAGTGGGACGAACGATTCTGCTTCATTTCAAGGGAATTCTCCATGATGAACAACCGAAATCTCATTTTACGATGTTATTGGTTATAAAATCTTGTGTCACCTTCTCAGCTAAACAGATGAAAGACTAAAGCTAATCGTGACTTACAGTCACGAGTGGCACTTGCGTTTTCCGCTCTTCATGCAGTTTGCTTGAGGTCTTAGCAGAGTCAGGTTTTAAATTAGTTATGCTACTTCTAACACTGGTCCTATTGACTCTTTCCTTTCCTGAGAACGTTGAATTGGGTTTACGGCGCGCGCTCAATCAAATTGCGATCTGACATCCAGCACGTTTTCATGGGTTGATCCCGGTATAGAAATAAAAAAATTCAATTTAAGAATTCTGGGCGAACGGCGTAAGCCATTTGCAAACGGCATGATTTATTTTAATAGGCCTCTGATGACTAACGATTTATAACGCTTTTCCTCACGAGAAATTAACTCGCCAGAGGCAAAGATTCGCGTTCAAATTAAAAGGTATAAATGTTGCACTTATGTCCTTAGTACGAGAACCAAATGAGTGTGCTAGGTAATTGGACAGCCAAAGGACTCCCTCGGCCTGCCTGGTCAAATGCTGGTGGAACGGTAAGTTATCTTGTTCTCAAGAAAGTGACAGAGTTATCATGTCAGGGAATTGCTTGAGTCCTTAGTCCGCATCAAAGATTACTGCGTATCGTAGTAGTTAAAACCCTTACTCTCTCCCCCCTTTGGAAGTGGATTTTGAATGGTTAAAATACATTTCAGAGAAGTCGGGATTTGTAAAGGTTTTAAACTTGAGAATGCCACTTATGTACAGTAAATACTAACACATATGCTAAATGTGCCTTAATGAATTTGTCTAAGTTCACTGGATTGCAAATTTAAAGGTCCAGCCTAGAAAAGTTCTGGCAAAGGCTGTAGTGTTTTTTTTCTTGGGAAAGACAAATAGTCCGTGTGTGTTTGTTTCCACTCAGGATTATATTTAGGGGAAACTTTTGGTTGTTACTGATATCTTACGAAATTATTTTGAGGTAATTTTGGAAACCCACGATCCTATCCTAGAGAAACAGCAATTTTCCTACTCGCTGTATGCCTCTTGTTTTGCAGATTCTAACTTTTATTGCACCTAGTTTACAAGGACGTAAAGC